ATGAATTCCTGCCCACGTAACTGGTACTCAGATTAAACAAGAGAGATTATGCTTCTCGAGGCTTGCTTTTAACCTCGGTTAGGGCCAGGCTAAAAGAATCCTTACTCTAGAGCGAACTTAGAGTCCTACCAAGGCATGGTCTCCGGCGGTCTCTAACGGCTGTCCTCCTTGAACAGCAAGATCTTACTCTGGCTGGTCAGAGCTTGTGTGAGCGAAGAGTCTGTGTGAGCTCCACCCTACACAGGGGCAGGTCAGTCTTTAGCACATTAGTCAAGAGGACTTGAGACAGATTTCTGGAGCTCTTGTGATGAGTGCCTTCTTCCAGTCTGGTACTCTGACCCACAAATTTAAACCATCTCGCCCTTAAGCTCAGCTTTCTGACCCCTCGACTCAGCAAAATTGGTGTGCTTTGCTGGGGACCCCCTCCTGGCACCATGGTCCAGAAATGCCTCAAGGCAAAAAGCCAGGGGAGTGGCAGGCCTCACCTCACTTGCTTCCTTTCTCTCAGGAATCGAAGTCCTGCATGGCCTGTTGTCTAATATGTGAAAACCACTGTTTTTTAAAAATTGTCCAGAGTTGTAGTTGTTAACGGTGGGAGGATAAAGCCAGTTCCAATTATTCCATCATGGCTAGAAGCGGGACAGAGGCCTCCTTCAGTAAAATTTCCAGCACGGTTGCCACATTTTGCAAGATTTCATCTACCAAAATAACCCAATCCATGTGTCCCTTCTGCCCTTCTATCTATCTATTCAGTGGATGCTGCATCTCTGGGAAACAAAGATGAATAAAACCTGACTCCTGCCTTTAAAGAAGTCACAACTCACAGGAAAAGCCAGAAGTATATACTCAATTATACTGTTGGGTGAGAAGTAGAATTACACAAGTATAATTACACAATTATACAAGGGGCTGTGAACACAAAGAGAAAGATATAGTGAAATGACCTGTAGAAGTGACGAAAGGTTTTATTTATTTATTTATTTATTTATTTACTTACTTACTTACTTACTTACTTACTTACTTCTTTATTTATTTAAGTAGGCTCCACATCCCATGTGGGGCTTGAACTCATGACCCTGAGATTAAGAGTCACATGCTCTACCAACTGAGCCAGCCAAGTGCTCCAGGGAAGATTTTTATAGTTTTACATTTAGAGTAAGTCTTGAAGATCGAGTAGGAGATTGGCGGGTGGGGCAGGACATTTGGGGCGGGGGGTGGGGGACTATATGCAAAGTTTGAAGTTATAAAATAACATGCAAGGTTTGCAGAACTAGTAACAGTTCCAATTATGTATGGAGTTTGGAGCTGGGAGGGGAGAGAGCTAAAGCTATCAGAAAAACACCCAGGAGAGTCAGAATATGAAAGAGGACCCTGAATGCCATGCTCATTGTAAATATCCATAAATCATCATCCATAATCATCATCACTAACTACCATCTATCACACTCGTAGGATGTATGTTTTACATATATTACATACATTACCTTCAATTCACACAACAACCTATGAGGAAACTAAGGCTCAGAGAGCCTAAGTAATTTTGATCAAGATCACACGGTTAGTACGTGGAGAAGCCAGGATTGAAACACGCGTCTGTCTGATTTCAAAGCCAACAAAAGGAATTCGCCTCTAAGCTATAGGCACTGGGAGGTAATGGGTTTTTGTTTCGTTTTGGTTTTTTGCTTGTTTGTTTCTGTTTTTTAATTATGTTCATTAATGGAGTAGTTTTAAGAGGGAAATACAGTTAAATTTATTTTTGGAAAGGCTGCTCTGGTGCAAGAGGAGGACAGGCTGGAGTCAGAGGAGCAAGTTCACGGGCTGGTGGTTAATGGTGTGGGGAGAAAACGAAGAGCCTGGATTAGGTGGTGGAGGGAGAACGGGAGAAGAGAATTTGACAAACGGCTGAAGAAGCAGAATCTGTCAGACGCCACAAACAAGCACCTCCAACCAAAGGGGAAATTGTGAGGTCAGCTGTGGACATGGCGGTGCCCTGCAAGTCCCGGCTCTGTGCTGAAGGCAAGGGACACGAAGATGCGCAGCATGTGGTTTCTTCTCTCAAGGATGTGACAGTTCACACAGCCTTATGGGAGCAAACCTATTCCCCGGAAACACAAATGCCTTATGGACCACATTCCCTATCCATTATTTGGAGTCTTTCATGGCTCTGGAGCCCCATGCTGAACACTGTTGTAGGACGTTCTCAACCCTGCCACAGACCTCGTTTTTGTGTAGGCAGAGGACTTTTAGGGAACATAACTGTCCTCCAACTCTGGCTGCAATGATTAACAACAATTTTATGAAAAACAAATGCAGGTACCATTTATTGAACACTAACAATACGTGAGCACTGTTCTAAGCATTTGAGGAACATAACCATCTTGTTTATTTGCTACAGCAATCCTAACTACAGGGCTCACACTCCTCCTTCCAACACGGGAGCCTGAGCTCAGAGAGAAAAAAATAACTTGCCTACATTCCTTTGGTTCCCTGAGACCACCGCGACGATCATTTAAAAAGCATCTTGGAGGGGCGCCTGGGTGGCGCAGTCGGTTAAGCGTCCGACTTCAGCCAGGTCACGATCTCGCGGTCCGTGAGTTCGAGCCCCGCGTCGGGCTCTGCGCTGATGGCTCAGAGCCTGGAGCCTGTTTCCGATTCTGTGTCTCCCTCTCTCTCTGCCCCTCCCCCGTTCATGCTCTGTCTGTCTCTGTCCCAAAAATAAATAAACGTTAAAAAAAAAAAATTAAAAAAAAAAAAAAAAAGCATCTTGGAATGTGCCATCTTCAGGAAGCCTCTATTTCCGTCTCCCAAATTTTGTCATCCCTGGGCCCTTCTGTGCCTGATTCCTATTTCCCTTGTGACCCCTATTATGCTACATCGTGATATATATATTTTTAACATATCTGTTTCCCCTACTTTCCTCTTTGAAGGAAAGGACTAGATCTATTTCATCTTTGCTGTTTGATGCCCAGCACTGGGCCTGCACACGGCAGATGGGACCAGTCTACCCCACTGTTTCCTAGCTATCTATCAGCCAGTCATTCTGGGCTGCCCCAGGCCCCTGGCCATTCCTAGCATCTGATACCTCAGGCTCACTTACAAAATTCACTCAGGAACTGACAGGTCCATACATATGGCACCCATGGATTAAGGGGAAAGCTTTTCCCTAGGAAGGAACCAGGGTGGAAGCCACATATTCTTTGGACCAATGATTCAAACTATGGTCAGGAGGCCCTGAGATCCCAAGCCCATACCTTGTCCTGACACGAATAGGTAGCCTCATGGTGTCTGGTCCTTTCCTTTTTCCTGCTTCTGCCATCTGTTTGCCTCAGAAGGGGGCGGGGGGCAGGGTACAAGGAGAGGAGGCAGTGTGGGCTTTGGTGCCGTCCAATCTCAGCTCTGCCCCAGCCAGTCATATGACCTATAGCAGGGCATGTGCTCTCTGAGGCTCATCTGCCCTATGTAAAGGAGAGAACACCTACTCCACTGGGCTATAATGCTAACTGCATGCGATCCCTGAATGCAGACGGCCCCTAGAGAGGATGTGGGGCTTGGCAGCTCTCAGGAGAGACAGAGTTGGGTTCACTTCCTGGCTCCTCCTCTTTCTAGCTCTGGGCATGAAGCAGGAATAAGGAAAATGCCTTCCTCAGGGCAGTGTGAAGAGGAAATGAGGGGTCAGTACGAGCTCTTAACATAGAGTTTAGCACATAGGAAGTCAATGAATGGTAGCCATTGTTTAATTAGACTACAAATGGAACATCTTTAAATTTTGTGGTTTTTTTAAATTTTATTTGAGAGAGAGAGAGAGAGAGAGAAAGAGCACGCACGCACAAGAGCAGGGGAGTGGAGCAGAGTGGGGGTGGGAGGTGGGGAAGACAGACTCTTAAGCAGGCTCCACGCACAGCGCAGAGCTCAACACAGGGCTCAATCCTGTGACCCCCGGAATCATGACCTGAGCCAAAATCAAGAGTCAGATGCTCAACTGACTGAGCCACCCAGGTGCCCCAGAATATCTTCATGTAGCACAAATGACTTTCCCAAATCTTACACTGAGTTAAGAGTAGAGGAGTTTGAAACCACGTTGCAAATTGTTCATCAACAAACAGCAGCATCTCTTCCAGACAGCTAACCCCAAAGTGCCACGGGGACCTCCGGCAGGAATGGAGCTCCACTTCCCGTGACACAAACCCAGCAGCACAGACCTGATCCCACGTCAGCACATGGGGCCGGGAACATCTACCCCCTTCAGCCTGGAAGTCAGAATAACTTTGTAGATCTTCCAGCAGACAGAGCCATGGAGGTCACACCAGAAACATCAAAACCCTATTTCCCAGTGAGCCCCAGTCCTCCTCATTCCTGTGGACGATGGGAGAGATTGGGTCTGCTTCGCACAGCAGCCCATGAGGCAGCCTGAGTAGCAACGTTGAGACAGGTAGGTGGTCAGGTGTCGGCATGGCAAATGTGGCAGCCGGTTGCTTTTGCTAAAGAGAGCCCACCATCTGTCTAGACGTTAGGTATTTAAGATTTATGGGACAGAGAGCCACATTCAGAGCACTGTCAGCAGGTATCTTGCTACATGGGAAAATGGCTGCTTGATGATGGCCCAGGAAAGACATACAGATCTGAAGTGTCCCATATCGCTCACACAGAAAGCCCTCCGGGGTTGCTCAGGGGAAGCTGTGCTGTCCTCGGGACGCGGCAATATGCTGGAGAGGGGACGGCAAGTCCCCGAGGCTCCCACACAAAGAGGAGCTGACTAGACGCTGGGATCACTACACAGCCCCCCAGATGCACGTTATGAGAGCAAAGCAACTAAACAAAATGAACCACCCTCCAACTTTCCTTCCCTGAGACAAAGGTGGCAGACGCAGCAGAGAAACAAACTGTAGTTCTTAGGCCAGAGGAAAACCACGACTGTCTCCCCTCCTTTCCGTTCTCGAAAGTCATGTTCATGTCCACTGCCCGAACTCACAGGAGTCAGACCTCAAGAGCTCATTACCCACCACATCATTTGGGAGGCTCTGGAGGTCATCAAAGGGAGTTTCCAGGGTGTTGGTGTCCACGTTGAGGATCACGACATCATCCAGGGCCATGTTTCTGACTTTCTGCAAATAAAAAAATTCCAAAAGAAAAGATAAGTGAAGCACCATGAGGACACGGATATTTCCACTGGCCCTCTCCGGGGAAGCGGAATAAGGAAGAACAGTGACATTTGCCAAAGGTTCATTTTGTGGCAGGCCCAATGCTAGGTGGGTCACATCTCTTAGGCCTTTTAACTGTCACAAAAACTCTGGGGGCTCTACAGTCCCCCCCCCAAGTCCCAGCAGGGGAAAGGGTTTCACAAGAATGAAGATGACTAAGTTAATATGCTCAGGTCACACGGTTAGGAAGAGAGATCTTTACACCTCAACTTTTTTTCTTTTCTTTTCTTTTTTTAACACTAGGAGCTATAGTCTAAAACTCTGGCTGCAGGAATTCTGATGTACAGCTAAGCCCAAATGACACCCTTCAATCTGTCCCCACTCACTTAACAAAAGCCACTTGCCCATCTCTCTTTTGGATGTTACCATTCTTGGGATGGAATATGGTAGATGGACTGGTGTTACCATGTCAACATTTCCCTTAAACATGGAGTAGGGAGGTCACGCTTTCAGTTGGGTCCCATTTTCCACAGAAACCAGTCAAGGCTCAGAGGCTCTGGCCATGAGCCATTACTCTACTGGCGCAGTAATGGAAAAGATAAGGGAGACGTGCTTATTAGGTGCGCATGTTTGTGCGGGGAAGAAGGGATAGGTAAAATATGGAGAAAGGAAAGGCCCACCCTCTGGGAGCAGCTCTCCATAGTCTGCAGAAGTACAAGATTATGTGTAGCTTGAGTTTTTAATTTTTAATCACACTATTCACCCACTGCTAGAATCCTCCTCCTCCATTTTTCTCCCGCCTACCCACCGCTCCCAATCTCATTCAACCCTCTTCTCCTGTCCAATATCAAAGCTCATTCCTTTAGAGTCTAGAACTTCACAACTGTGTCTTTATCTCACTTGGCCCCAGTTAATTAGGAAGACCTTATCATTTGTGGTCAAAACTGGAACGCTTGTTGGTGTGAAAGAGGGCATAATATGCTAGGGCAGAAGACATCCAACGGGACATACAGTCACCTTACATATATAAGCGATCAATTTATTAGCTACTCTCTGAGGCACTGAATATAACCGTGCAGGTATGTACTGCCCAGGGACGTCCCACCAGCCACCTGCGGCTGAAATCGGCTAAGCCGTGTGTCTGGGTCAGGGGTGGTGGCCGTGGAAGAGAGGAGATAGACGCCTTTTCCTAATTCATCGAAGAGAACTGCACAGCCTAGTGATGGGCCTGGACCATCCCGATGGCTGCTAAACCCCAGTCTCTAGGACATAGCCTATACCTAAGTAAATGTTTTGAGATTCCTCCCAGCAGGAGGGTGGAGCTGAGCTGGTCAGAAGCCTCCTAGGGTTGAAAAATGGTCCCAGGTGGCAGAGTCCGGGAATCCTTCCACTTAACACACCTAAGAGCCTCAAACTCCTTTTGCTGTTGAGTTTTCCACGCCACCAGGGGCTAGCCCGCAAGCCTTTCAATCCATTCGTCAACATTTCCTAAGTGCTCACTATGGGCTAAGAACCGCAGAGGAGAGACAAGATTCCCTGCCTACTTACAAGTTTATTCTCCCCTCCAAACATTAATTACAGAGTAAAACTTTTACAGAGTAAAAACTTGGCAGCAAACAGCCTTGATAATAATACAAATCACCAGGGTTTCATAAAGCACAACCCCCATTTTTCAGATGAGAACGTTAAGACTCCTGGTAAACTGTCCGGGGCTCCACTGCCACCTCATTTTTCAGTCCAAAAAGTTTAAGACCTAGCAGTGTGCTGGCAGGAAGTTACAGAAATAGCCTCAACAACAATCTCTTTCACTCATATCACCTGTGGAGCTCACACACATTCTTTCATTGTCAACAACGTAGCTGGAGACAAAGTATCACCATTCCCGTTTGCAGGAATGAGAAACTGAGGCTCAGAGAGGTGAAGTGGCTCGCCCCGGATTATGTGGCTACAGTTTGGCTACCTCATCCGTAAAACTGGTCCAATGACTGTGACCACCGTCCTCTAACCCCTGCCCCCCGGGCTGCTGTGAGGGAGTAGAGGTAATACGTGCACGGTGCCAGGCACACAGGATTTATAAATAGTGGTTGTTATTATTACTTTCATAATTCACACATCTGCTACAGCAAGTCTGAAAGCCGTAGTGCCAATGGCCTAAGGGCAAAAACCGTCTGGCCCCTTCTTGGAGGCTAATGGGCTCTCACCTCAAAAGCTGAAACATCAGAAATGGAACTGGAGAAGAGGCCACAAGGAACCCCAAAACTCAGCAGGGGACTCCAGGCCTGGAGGACTGCGCTGAGGGCCACTGCACCCCAGAACTGCCTCTTCTGTCTCATCTGACCTTCTAAAATAGTCCCAAACAGAAGGGGGCAGGGGGCTTGGCCACTGGAGAGAAGCCTCAGGGGCTGAAAGGCCCAGCAAGAGGGATGTTGATTCTGGACCAGAATTGGGCGTTGTTTCTGTGTTCCCAGAGGGGCCCCAGCAGCACAGACCAGCCCTTGTGGGCTCTCCGCGGCCTGGGCTGGAACAGGCTTTTGATTTCTTCCCACTCCTGACTGGAGGGCCTGCCGGTTAAGCTGTGTGGAGTGTTTACTTTTTCAACAATGGCAGCAGGCTGAAGAAGAGGAAAAAACCTGGCCCTTTTTTCTGACTTAGCAGGCCAGGGTCCCCTTAGTAACCAAAATGCCCAAGCACCAGGCTCCAGGCAAGGAGCTGGGTCGGCACAGTTTCCTCTTACAGGACAAAGCTGCCCTCCTGGCAACAAGGCCTCTTCCAAAGAGGCTGGCGTAGACTCAAGGGCCTTCCTGAAGCTCAGTGTTCCCAAGGAAAGAATCGGAGGCCAGCTCAGCCGGATGGTGCCTTATCCCTGAAAGGCTCAAGGAAACAAGAGCAATGAAGAAAGGCCAAACCCTCCCTCGTCAACACACACACACAAAACCAACCCCACAAAACCCTTCAAACTGGGGTGGGGGTGGGAAGAGCTGGTGGAGGAGGAAGCTAGACCATTACTGGGAGCCAGCTCACTGAATCTCACTGAATCCCGACCACGCCAGGAGGCAGATACTACCATCTCCGTGGTAGGGATGAGAAAATAAGGCTTGGAGACGTCAAATAAACTGCCCCAAATCACTCGGCTGGTGAGTGGCAGAGCTGACTTTCGAACCCACTCTGACTCGAAAGCCTCGCTATTTCTGAAGACGTCCCAAATCCAATTGCTCAGACCTCAGGATGAGTATCTGTAGGGCATGAAGCTATATGGATCCTCTCAGGGCCGAGCTTGCTCTTACACACAAAAAAACCACTTGCCTTTTGTATCATAAAAATCACATGGGCCTGTTCAAAAAAAAAAAATACAGACAAAAAATTTCAAAGAAGGAAAGTACAGTGACGCTCATCCCTCCATTTGGAGATTGCGTTTTGAATTTTTTTTTTTTTCAACGTTTTTATTTATTTTTGGGACAGAGAGAGACAGAGCATGAACGGGGGAGGGGCAGAGAGAGAGGGAGACACAGAATCGGAAACAGGCTCCAGGCTCTGAGCCATCAGCCCAGAGCCTGACGCGGGGCTCGAACTCACGGACCGCAAGATCGTGACCTGGCTGAAGTCGGACGCTCAACCGACTGCGCCACCCAGGCGCCCCTGGAGATTGCGTTTTGATGTCTCCTTCCATATCCTTTCACCTCAAGCCCTACTTTTAAAAGTATAGTTAAAATAGTTCTTAATACTTCTTCCCGATTCTCTCTCATTACAATATAGGAATGCTCCACTTCATTAAAAACTTTGTAAAGATCATCGCTAATTGCTACAAAATGTTCCACTTCGTGGAAACAAACTCGACCAAGCCCCTCCTGTTGGCCGTTACCGCCAGTTTTTAAATAATTTTTATATATGATATTGTCATGAAATTTGTAGGCATAATGCCTTGGGCTTTAGGACAGGTTCCTAGAAGTGGAATTTCCTTTCCACTTCTTAAAAAGTGTCCCTCTCAAATTCGACTTTGAGGGAGATATCTTTACTTCCAATTATTTTAAAGTCATTTTATCCACAGCTTGTGTTTCCTACTCTAAGTGAAGAAAAATCAGCAAAGACACGAGCAGATGTCAAAATAGTCCTCCAAAAACCCTACCCAATTAAAACACTTACGAGTACCGCGGCACACCGAGACAGCTCTCCGGTAGCTTGTCCCACCAACACGTTCCCTCTCTTTTTAGTTACAACATATGCCAAAGCTCCTGCCAGCTGCAAACCCTCCCCCCACCAGACTCTATAGGCTTTTTCTCAGAATGAAAAAAAAAAAAATACTGACATGCACACCGACTTTCCAAATGGCATTTCTTGCACAGAGAAACACACAAAAATGGCATCCTCCCATAAATATTGTTAATCAAAAATGTCTTTCTCTTTATGCTTTGTCACAGACTCAGCCTGACCCCGGCCTTTCAGGACAGGGGAGGGGAACATCATAGTCGGGAGGTGGTGGGGGCAGCAGAGGGGTTGGGTTCTAACACACAGGCTTCACTTAAAGATTGCCCCCTACCTCCAGGGCTGCCTTAAGGCAATTCACTCAACCTCCAAAATCCTCCAGGTTTTCATCTGTGAAACGGGGATCAAGATAGCACCCCCTCACAGATCTGCTGGGAGGATTGGATAAGCGAATGTACGTGGAAGAGTCGGCAGGATTCCAGGGACACCCGAACAGGCATTCATCAAACAGTGGCTCTCCTGCCTGTCTGTTCCCTTTCCTTTGATGGTTCCTGAGAACTCAGCAAAGCCTGGCCAGCCTCACTGCAGAGGGCCCCGGCTGGCAGTAAGTTTGCCTTTCCCTGTGCTGCCCTGAGGTCATTCCTACAACCAGAATAATATGCCAACCTAGAGTTATTTATAGAAGTATTCAATTCCTCCCCTAGTCCACGGGCTTCTTAGGGTAATAAGACAGAGAACTCTACACTGTCAGCTCCTACTCCAGC